CTCGCTCTCCCCGGGGACCAGCCCTTAGCTGTGACGAGAGAATTGCTGCCAGCACCAGTGGAGGCAAGCAGAGCCTCTCTGAGCTAGCCACAGCCCCACTGCCCTCCCCAGGGCCCTCAGAGCTGCACCCAGGATGGCTGGTGGGGAGGGGGTTCCCTTCTGGGAGTGTGACCCCATAGGGACTTCCCTGCACCGGCACCTTGTCTTCCCCAAGGGAACATCTGGGGACCCCAGTCCTTCCTCATGGAGAGGCAGAGCAGTCTTCCTCCAATCCCACCGTGCTCCTGGGAGGAGCCCGTGTTCCCCTCCCTTCTCCCTCCTCCCTTCCAGCATTTCCCTGTCTCCCTTTAAGAGCAGCAAAGGACAGAAGGGCAGCCCACAACCTCGGTAAGGCCAGGATGGTACCAAGGGTTGGCGAGAGCGGGGACAGGGATGGCCAGCACAGCTCAGATCTGCCAGCCCAGGGCTGCCCAGATGCCCACGGGACCCCGAGGAGCCTCACCCAGGGGAGGGCACAGGGAAAGGAAGAGGCAGGCAGGAGCATCCAGGTGCATGGGGTGAACCCCAGCTGTGCCACCCGTGCAGCCACGGCTGAGAGCAATACACAGCAGCTGCTCCCCACTCCTTGCTCCTCTCCAGAGCTGCTTCCGACCCCCGTGCCCATCCCCTGCCCATCCCTGCCTGCTTGCTTGCTGTCTAGTGCTGCTGAGGCCGTGCCCAGCTGAGGCCTGGCTGTGCCCAGCGCCCTGGGCGTGCTGGTGAGCGCCGGGGCAGGCGCAGAGCCCAGCGGCAGAGCGCGGACGCGGCTCGAGTCTCATTTTTTTGTGAACATTTGTAGTTGTTTCCACAGCTTGTCGTCAAAGAAATTCTGTTAAGGGAAAAGAAAAAAAAAGTGGGAAAAAAGAACCTTATGAAAAGCAACAACAACAACAACAAAAAAACCACCTTACCATCCAGGAGTGTTCCTCTGTCTGCACAATAAAACCCTACCTAGGTTGTGTGTTGGAGCCACGGGCGCCCGTGTGTGCGGCGGTGGGGATGGGGGCTGTGTGGGGCTGGGCACCAGGACCTGCTGAGGGGTACAGCCCCCCAGGCAACCCCCCTGTGCCTCCAGCACCCCAATACCTGCGGGAGAGAAGCAGGCAGAGGGACAAGGCTCGACTTTCCTGGGCAGGGCAACCCCCTCCTGCCCACCTGGAGCGTGGCCTCCTGCACCCAGACCCTTTGTCCCCATCCCTGTCCCTAAACCCCCAGTCCATCCTAGACGCCACCCACTGCCCACGGTGGTGGCAGGAGGCCAGGTCTGGTCCTGGCCCATCCATCCTCTGAGGAGAGGATTGCCAGGGATGGAAGTGGCCATGGGAGGGGGCCATTGGCCCAAAGCTCCTGTGCCCGTCACACCAGGGTCCTGCTGGAGCCCCCGTGCCCACACTCTGCCTGGGGGCTGCCAAGGGCTCCCGTGTCCTCTGGAGCAGCCACACACTGCCCTGCCCAGGGTTAAGATGCCGCCCTGGCACCAGGACTCACGAGCAGCAGCCTGCCACCTCCCCCTAACACCATTGGTGACCCTGCGCCACCTCCCAGAGCAACGCCCCGACGCGTCCCTCCCTGTTTAAGGGCTGGAGCCAGACAGGAGGGAGGGAGGAAGATGCCACCCTAATTACATCCCTCCCATTATCCCCGGCAGGTGCTCGCTGAGTCACGGCCACGCAGGTGCCGTAGGCTGGGCGGGTCAGGCATCCCGGAGCGGTGCCCCGGTGTCCCCATGGATCCACGCAATGCCAGCTGCCCTCTGCCCAGCTTTGCTGAAGGTTTAGGGGGCTCTTCTCCCTGCAGCTCACCCCAAGGGGGGCAAAACCCAATCCAGCTCCTCCCCTCACCCTGATTCTCTACTCCAGACCTTGCTGGCAGCCACGACCACCCCTTTCTGTGCCTCCCTTACCCTCCACACACCCAGTCGTGTCCCCCCCGCCGGCTCCCTCCTTTAACCCTCCCTCCATCCTTTCCCTCCTGGACCTCGATCTCCGTCCCCAAATCTCTCCTTTCCTCACGCTTACCCTCAGTCCTCCTCCTCCATCGTCAGAGCCCCCGCTGCCCCCGCAGCCTCCCCTCGGGCCACCCCCTTGCCGTGGGCCACCAGCCCCCCCAGGTTCGCGTCCCCTTTAAGCCTCCCCAAGCTGGAATGCGAGAGGAGCATTTCAGCGCCCTGTGAGGTCAGATAAAGACACTATATTTATCTGGCTGGTAACCTGAGCCCTGAATTTCTGCCGTGGTGTTTTTACGCGGCCCCACAGCCCTCGGGCTCGGCCCCCTCCGGCCACTGCGCTCCCTCCCCGGGTGGAGGGGCTGAGCCGGGGGTCTCCTGTCCCCTGCGAAGGGCTCGGCTGCTGCCCATCTCCACATCGCCCATCTCTGAAGCTCCCCAAGGAGGCAGGATCAGCCCCGAAGGCATCACCAAATGCCTGGCTGGTGGCCCCTCGCCGTGCCCTGAGCAGCCATCGGCCACCCGCGCCACATGCAGGTGAGTGCAGGTGGGGACAGCGCCCCGGGGAGGGGGACACGGAGACAGACAAAGCTGTCCCCCTTCTTCCTTCGGGGGAGAGGTTTCTCTCCAGGGAGAAGGTTCCGAGTTCACACACAAAATCCTGGCTTGGAGCCCTCCCCGGCACCCTCCTGGTCCCCCGGTGTGGGCAGGGCACCTGCCCGAGGGTCCCTTCTTTTTTTGCCACCCACAGACCTCAAAGCAGTAACTCATGCCCCGGGTCTTACGTCCGGGTCCCCGGTGGGTTCGGGGTTTTGCTTCCCGGGAGCAGCAGGTTCTGCAGCAGGGTGGGGATGTGTCAGCAGCACGGAGAGGGGCCAGGGCGGTGACTCCTGGCCATGTGGGGTTCTCAGGCCAGGGAAGGGCCCTGGCCAGGCTGGTCCCTGCTGGGTGAGTCACCTTGGGCAGGGCCTGTCACTTTGGGGGGTGGGAATGGTGGGGGGCAACGCAGGAGCTGGGCTGTGACAGAGGCACTGCAGTCCCCATCTGTCAACAAGGGTCACTCCAGTCCCTTCCAGGGAGCAAACATTTTGTGGCACATTCCCCCCAGGGCTGCTTGGGGTCACCCTTCCTAGAGGGAACTGGACACCAGAAGGATTCTGTGCCTCGTTTCCCTTGGGGAATGGGCAGGAGGCTGTCCCACCCCACTCAGCTGGACACAGAGCCCCTCAGCCCCAAAGCATTCGTACTCTGAAGCGTGCAAAGTGCCTCACACAGGGTCCCCTCTGTGCCTCCACCACGGCAGAGTCCTGGGAGCTCCCACGTAACCTCCAGGCTGGGACATTGTGTCTCAGGGGACAGGGGACACAGCTCCGAGCCTGCGTAAGCGAGAAGCAGCTGTGCTGTGACACCTTGGATGGTGCCAGCGCTGTGTAAGCTGAGCTGAGCCCGCTCTGGGGCTCCGCAGCCACCGAGGGGGACAGCTGGCACCAGGCACGGGCAGGACAGAGGGGACACCTGCCACTGGGCACGGGCAGGACAGCAGCTGCAGACAGAGCAGGGCTCTGCTTCTCTGCCGTCAGAGTGAAGGGTTTGCCTCCTCCCTTGGAGCTGAGATTCCCAGGGAAGTGCCCCGAGCAGTCCCATGGTGTCCCTCTCCCATGTGGTGGCACCTCTCCTGCCGGGCCCCGTGAGTGCAGACCGGACATTCCTGTGCCTCAGCTTCCCCTGACACCCCGGGAGGATGATGAGGGTGCAGGAGGCCTGACTCAGCCGTGCCGGCCCCAGGGCTTTGCCAGGCAGCAGGAAAGCTCAGCACAATGACGGGTAGGGAGGGGCCAGGCAGCCCAGGAAGCGCTGGGAGGAACCGGGGTTTTCTCACACCCCCTCAGCTCCTCTGGCTCCGGGCACGCTCCGCTCTCCCGCCGCCCTGGGGTCCGCTCGGATGTGACACGGGGACTTGGAAGCACAGGCAAGCCTGGCAGATGTGACATTCCTCCATGGTAAGGCCTCTCTTCCCAAGGAATGGGATAGCTCCCATGTCTGGGGCCGCTGCTGGCTCCTGACCCTGCATCCCTCCATCGGCTGCTCCGCATCCCCAGGGCAGGTGCTGCCCTTGGAGACCTGTCCTGCTGCCAGGAGCTCCTGCTGCCCTCCTCTCCCCAGCCTGGTGCTCTCCTGATGCTGCTGGTGCCAGGAGAGAGCGTGGGCACCTGGCAGGGGACGATGGCGTGGGGCTGTCCTGGCACTGTCCCAAACCAAGATCATCTCTGCTGGCGAGGAGGATGGAGAGCAGGGGCAGTCGCTGTGCCAGGCTGCTCCGTGCCCCAGCAGGGCAGGCAGCCAGGCATGTGCTGCTCCCTGGGAGCCCAGGGGCTCCGTCATTCCCATCCTGGCACTCGAGTGCCAGTCTCTTGGCTGGGGTCCCACTCCCTGTGAGCGAAATTCCCCACTGTCCATGTCAAATCCTGACTGGCAGAGCCCTGCTCCTGGTGAGGGCGTCCTCAGCCAGGCTGGGGAGAGCCGAGCCGGGTGTTTCGTAGCTCCCTTGCCCGGGAGCAGATTATTCACCCTTCAGCCTCCGTCCCCAAACAGGTCTGTGCGCTCCACCTCGCTGCTGCTTGTAAATGTTTCCCTCCACAGGGTGGGATGGCTGTTCCCTGGGCAGTAACCTGGCTGCAAAGCCAGGCTGCCCGCCAGGAGCCCACGGGGGCTGGCTGTGTCTCTCAGCACCCCCTGCTAGAATCATTCCTAGGGTGTTTCCACTCTGAGCCTGCGGGGTTTTGAGCAGGAGGCTCTGTCCCCCAGGGCCAGGCTGGCAGTGACCCTGGTGCCACGATCAGTGCCCATCCCCAAGCCTGGGTGCACCCTCGGTGCTGCGAGGGACGGGCCAGGCACAGACTCTGGCACCTCCTGGCTTGGAGCTGTGCCAGAGCCCGCCCCGGCTGGGCTGGGAAAAGCCTCTGAATCAGGGTCATCTCCCGGGTGACTGGAGACTCTCGGAGCCACATGAGCCACTGTCCTGCCAGGGAAGGGACACCAGTCACCCCGGGAGCTGAGCACCAGCAGCGCCAGGGCAGAGGAGCTCGGCTGGGTCCTGCCTGCCCCGGTGGCACCCACAGCCCCAGCACAGGTAGGGATCCAGCCATCAGCCTGCCAGCCGGGGTGCTGAGGGCACACTCTCCTCCAGCTCCTGGCAGCCCGTGTTTGGGGGCTGCTGGGTGCCAGAGTGCCCTGCCCCTGCTCCAGCTTGGCTCTGGGGGCCTCTGTCCCTATCTCTGTGTGCTCCTGTCCTGCCCTGTGTGGGAGCCATCAGCTCTCTGTGGGCACTGAGTGCTGGCTGTGCCCGGCTGGCAGGGGCACGGCTGCCACCTCACCAGGAGGACTCTCGGTTTGAATTACTGATGGGGGCACAGGGGGCACGGCCATGGCGGGGAGACAGGAAAGCTGCTCAGATGCTGGCCTTGCCTCAGTTTCCCTCTCACTGAAATGCCAGCCCCTTGCCAAGCCCCAGCACTCCCTGTGAGTAACCAGGGGAAGGTGCTGGGCTGGCTGGATCGGCCCATCCCAGCTGCCTGCCTCAGCCAGAGCTGGGCCTGAGCATTCTCCTGTGACCAGGCCACTGGGGATATCTCTCCAGGCCCAAGAGTGGGACAGTCACAGGATGGTGTGGCAGGGATGCCAGGGCTGGGGCAGAGGTGGCTGTTGCAGTTCCTTGGTGTCTATGGGGATGTTGGGTGCCTCTGGCTGTGCCCTGGGGCTCCCTTCTGTGGTTTGAGGTGCCCAGGGGCATGGGGGTGGCAGTGCCAGCCAGGTCCTGCTGTCCCAGGCTCTCCAGGAAGGCTGGAGGTGGCAGGAGCCATGGCCACACTGTCACCAACACCCCCTGGATGCCCTCTGTGTCCCAGGATCTCCAGGGGAGGCAGGAGCTGCTGGGTGGGAGCTGGCGTTGTGCTGACCAGGCCTGTGGGACTGATCCCTGGGCTCTTCCCTTGCAGCCGATGCCTCCAGGACAGCGTGCCGAGCCCCAGCCTGCAGCATGTCCCAGCTCTCCTCCACCCTGAAGCGCTACGTGGACTCCTCGCGCTACGCCGAGAGCACCTACAGCAAAGCGCCCAGCGGCTACAGCTCCTACAGCTCCTATGGGTCCACCCTGTCCACCGCCTACGCCGACAGCGACAAAATCGGCTTCAAAGCCAGCTACCTGCCCTCCCCCCGCTACCACCACGCTGGGGGGCTGTCCCCCACCTCTGGCTATGACAGCGGCCGGCTGTACCCCGACCCCAGCATCCGCCTG